CTCTCCTCTCCTTCTCCCTCTCCCTCTCCCTCTCCCTCTCCCTCTTCCTCTCCTCCCTCTCCCTCTCTCGTCTCTCTCCATCTCCCTCTCCCCTCACACTCTCCCTCTCCTCTCTCTGCCTCTCGCCTCTCCCTCTATCTCTGCTCACTTTCCCTCTCCCTCTCCCTCTATCTTCACTCTCCTCTCCGTCTCACTCTCCCTCTCCCTCTCCTCTCCCTCTCCCTTCTCCCTCTCCTCTTCCCGGGGGCCTATCTCTCTCACTCTCCTCTCCCTCTCCTCTCCCCTCCTCTATCTCTCCCTTCTCCCTCTCCCTCTCCCTCTCCCTCTCTTTCTCCCTCTCCTCTCTCCCTATTTCCCTTCCTCTCCCTCTCTCGTCCTCTCCCTCCCTCTCCCTTGCTCCCTTTTCCTATCTCTCTCACTCTCCCTCTCCCTCTCCTGCTCCCTCTTATCTCTCCCTCGTCCCTCTATCTCTTCCTTCCTCTGCCCTCTCACTCTCGCTCTCCCTCTATCTGCTCTCACTTCTTCCTCTCCCGCTCTCCTCTCCCTCTCCTCTATCTCTCCTCTCGCTCTTCCCTCTCCCTCTCCCTCTCCTTCTCCCTCTCCCTCTCTCTCTCTCTCTCTTCTCCCTTTCTCCCGTCTCCCTTCCCTTCCTAGATGCTCTCTCCTCTCACCTCTCCCTCTCCCTCTCCCTCTCCCTCTCCCTCTCTCCCTCTATCTCTCACACTATTATACTTACACAACATCAATCGCACATACAATTGATCATTTCGCCTAACTTGTTGACATTAATGTTGACAGAGAGAACAGGATTCACTAGTGTTGCAGCCGTGCAGTTATTGAATCCTGGCCAAAGTGACATGCATGCTTGCTAACACTTGAGATCTCATTACCTCGTTGTCCAGAAATCTGCTGTGTAGAGAAACCGTGTTCAGCAGCGTAGAGGCAACAAGCTACAGCAAGAATGCGCAGTTGGCATACGATTCCAAAGGAGTTACCGTCGATCTGTTCTTGCACGGGACCAGGCTGAGCATGGCCGGTACGCGAATTTGCGATTCCCAAACCGTATAGCTATGGAAGAAAAATTGAGCAACGTGATTGGCTAGAAAAATGTCAAGACACGCCCACTATCGCACGCTCGCCATCGCGCATTTTGCACAGCCGATCATCATCAAGCCATCCAAGGGCTTATTTATTTTATTTCATATTTTTTTGGCTAATTTTGTTTTATTTTGGAATTAGGGATAGGGCTAGGGTTAGGGTTAGAATTAGGGTTAGGGTTAGGGCTAGAGTAAGGGTTAGGGTTAGGATTAGGGTTAGGGTTAGGGTTAACTAATTTCTATATCTATGTATTTTATGTACGTCTGACTTGGTCAACGCCAGAGTGTTCGCTTCGTGATCGTTAGGTACCTCGTTCGAACGCCATATCCTGTTTTTATTTTCCTCTGCTTTATGTATTTCTTTGTATTTTATTTGTTTCTGCATTTATTTGTTCTGTAACTTTTGTTTATGTTCTGAATTATATTTCTTTATAATATTACTAATTAGCTTATAATTTAATATATTAGCTTGTTGACTATAATAATGTGTGTCCTAAAATTTTTCTAGCCAATCACGTTGCTCAATTTTTCTTCCATAACTATACGGTTTGGGAATCGCAAATTCGCGGCCGGTACACCATCAAGGTAAATCTATACAGAATTATACAAGGTATAATGTCCACTCATCGCATCGAACCGCAGTAAGATAGTGTTAGCACCTTAGCGTTATGTCTGTATTGCTCTCCCTTATAACGGTGCAGGTACAATATAATGTATAATACAATATTTATAATATAGTTGTTCACGTATACAGGTATGGCTTTCTACGACAAGGTGCATGTGGGTTTGTTCCGTATTGAAAACAAGCTCGTGTAGCTACCGTAGTAAAGTAAATTTTGTTAGGGTTTTACGAAATCAAATCGAGGGATTTGTAATACCGATTTTCTCGAACCGAATCGCATGCGAAAGAAGTGAGAAGCTGGTGGAGAAGGAGGAAGGGGAGAAGGGAGAAGGTGGTTGAGAGAAAGAGGAGGGATAAGCTGGGGGAGAAGGAAGAGGAGGGGAGAACGCTGGTGAGAGAAGGAAATGGGCAAAGCTTGGTTAGGAGAGGACGAGAGGAGAAGGAGGGGAGCAAGGGAGATGGTGGAGGAGTCAGGATGAGAAGGGAGAAGTGCCGTGGAAAAGATAGGAGGGGGGAAGCTTGGCGGCGAATGGGAAGGCGGAGAAAGGGGAAGGCTGGTGGAGGAGGAAAGGGTGAGAAGGAGAAGGTAGTATGTCGAGAGGGGAGAAGCTGGTGGAGGATAGAAGGAGGGGGAGAGCTGGTGCGAGAAGGAGGGAGGGGAGAAGGGAGTCTGGTGGAGGAGCGCGGAGAGAATGTGATGAAATTGGTGGGAAGGAGGAGCGGGTGAGAAGCTGGTTAGAGAAGGAGTGAGGGGGAGAAGCTGGTGGAGAAGTAGGCCAGGGTGAGAAGGAGCTGTGGGAGGAGGAGGGCCTGAGAAGGGCAGAAGCTGGTGGAGAAGCGAGGAGAGGGGAGGAGGAAGGGGAGAAAGGAGAAGCTGCTAGCGAAAGGAGGAGCGGGTGAGAAGAGAGAAGGTGAGTGAGAGAATGGAGGATAGGAGGGAGGAGAGAGCTGGTGAGGAGGGGGGAGAAGCTGGTGGAGAAGGAGCTGAGCGGGAGAAGCTGGTGGAGAAGCGAGGAAGGGCGAGGAGGGTGGAGAAGGGCGGAATGAAACGAGAAGCTGAGTGGAAGAAGGGAGGCAGGCGGAGAAGCTTAGGTGGAGAAGGAGGAAAAGGAGAAGGAGAGGTTGGGGAGAAGGAGGAGGGGGAGAAGCTGGTTGAGAAGAGGAAGCGGGGAAGGAGAAGTTGGTGGGAAGGGAAGGGGAGGGGAAGGTAGTGGGAGAAGCG